TTGGGATAACTACTACTTAACTAATTTTACATTTTCTTTGCACTTGTTGGCTATTTATCTAGCTACCTCATAAATAAATAAAAACTGATTATAAGGATAAGTTCTCAACAGAATTATAAGGATACGTTGTCAACAGAACTATAAGGATAATCACAGTGATTTTTATAGTAAACACTGACTGCATAGCAAAAATAAAAAAAAAAGATCTAAGGATAAGTAGCACGTGCGTTCGTTGCTCTAGTTAATATCTATCCTGAACTAAAATCAGACATCCGACCAAAAAAAAAACATGAGCGTTTTGGTTGGTTAATAATAAAACAACACTCCGTTGAAACGAAACACAAAAAAGCCCATCTCATCCATCCACACAACACAAATTATTCCCTCTCTCTCTCTCCGGCGATGCCTTCCTTATCTACGCCTCCGTCGCAAAATCTGGCCTTCTCCCCCGCCGCAACGTCATCAAGGCTCACGCCCACCAAAAGACCGTTTTATCCTCAACGTCTCTCCGATCCTGCCGGACTTTTCCGCTGCTCCTCCTCCTCCTCCGGTGGAAACTCGTCCTCTGCTTCCTCCTCCTCCGATGATAACCCTCCCAGATGGGACGCCGCGATTCAGGATGTCTTAAAGAGCGCCATCAAACGCTTCGATTCGGTCCTGAGCTGGTACAGCAGCACGGGTCAGGATAAGGATGCTGACGACGTCGTTTTGGGGGAGGAAAGTGATTGGGATTGGGAGAGATGGAAGAAGCATTTCGAACTAATTGATGACCAAGACCGTCTCATCTCCGTCCTAAAGGTTCCTACTTTATTACTTAACATTGTTGATGATGATTAGGGTCTTGTAATAAATGAAAATGTGTCTTATGATAGGAATTTGTAATTTTGTGTACAGTCGCAATTGAATGGAGCTATTAAACGAGAAGAGTATGAAGATGCTGCGAGGTTGAAGGTGGCAATTGCTGCTGCAGCGACGAATGATGCTGTTGGCAGAGTCATGTCTAGCTTCAATGTATAAACTCTTCTATGTGAAACGTGAATCATAGTCTCTCTTTTTTTTTTATTTCATTTGATTCTGAAAGATGTTCTCTGCGTTTGTGTGTTTAGAGAGCTGTTCTTGAAGAGCGTTACAAGGATGCAGTCTACTTACGAGACAAAGCTGGTGCTGGGTTGGTGAGCTCGTTATTTGTTTTCTTATATAGGTGTATAAAGATCTTCTGTTGTTTCTTTATTAAGGTATTTCCTCGTCTTTTCTGTATGGCTTGCAGGTAGGGTGGTGGTCAGGTATTTCGGAAGATGTGAAAGATCCTTTTGGTCTTATTGTTCAAATTACCGCAGAGCATGGAAGATATGTTGCAAGAAGTTATAATCCTAGGTAATAACTTGTTCTATCTATCTTCTTAGTTCATCAAATTATCTGTGGCAGTGACGTTTTGTGTATCAAAATGCCAAGTTTCTCTAGGTCATTTGTTCTGAAAAAACTGCTCTAAATGAAAACGTTTTCTCTCTCAGGCAGCTTAGTACATCTGCTGCTGGTGCTCCTCTTTTTGAAATCTTTCTGACACTCGATGGAAAAGGGAACTACAAAAAACAGGTTTTGTCTCCCTCCTTAATTTTATGTAGTTACGATCCAGTTTGAGTAATTGGGATATAGCGTTGGAGAATTTTTCGTCTATAGCAAACTGTAAACTGCTCTGAACTTGGTATGTAGTTAAATGCTCTGAACTTGGTATGTAGTTAAATGGTATGAACTTGTTTATTTATTGGAAGCTGGCCTGTTTTAGTAGATACCAAACTGTAAACTGCTCCTCTCAATGATCTCACGACTTTCTTTTGGGATGTATGCTTCTTCAGGCTGTGTACTTAAAATGGAAGGAGATTTTTCCTGACGTTCCAACAATGCCTTCCAGAACACTGAACTCTCCCAGGTTTTTAACTCCACCTGGTAAGAAAGAAGATGCGGGCAATCTTGCGGTGGAGAGTAGTGAAGATGAAGAGAGTGATAACTCAGACGACGATTCTGATCTCCTTGAGGAATCTTCTGGTTTCCAGACCTTCCTGCGAGATATGATCCCTGGTGTCAAAGTCAAGGTTATGAAAGTAACTTCTCCTGGAAAAGTGGACAAGGATTTCATCTCAAAAGTTATTGAGCAGATAGCTGATGATGAAGAAGAAGAAGAAGAAGAAAATGAAGAGAAGGACTTTGATATAGAAGAGATAGTAGTGGAAGAGGTATCTAAGACTGAAAGTGAGGATAAAAACGCTGACATTGAATTAGAATCTGTGACTGATGAGATCATTGACAACAATGGAGGGAGAGAAATCGCAGTTAAGTTTGTGATAGGAGATATTGTTGATAGGCTTTCTGGAAATCAACCTCCTAAAGAGTCACTTCGATCACCAGCCAATCTGGAATCTGTGGAGAAGTCTTCGTTTTATCTTCGGTTAGAGAAAGATTTAAACGTACAACAAGAGTCCAAGGGTGTGGAGAATACATTACTTGATGGAAGAGGTAGCCGCCAAGGTAGACGCAGGATTGATAACATTATGGTTGATCTGGCCAAGTCCATTGAGAAAGACAAGAAGATTTCTCTCAAGGTTAGCTTTGGCTAGATTGTTCCTTCTTGTTTCATGGCAAAATGGGGGAGACAAAGCTTATTCTAAAAAAATCGCTTTGCAGATGCTTAAGGATGTAGGGGAGCTACTAAGCCTCACTCTAAGCCAGGCTCAAAACCGTCAACAGTTGTCGGGTTTGACGAAGTTCCGGCGCATTGATGTGACACCATCGCTAGATCCTCTAGAAGGTGAGTGAAATTGATTGAACGTGACAAGTGTTTTACATTTCTTTGAGGAAAATGGAAACAGGCTCTACATTTTTTTTTCAGTATGGCTAATGTAGCTGTTAGAAGTTAACCTTTTTCCATGTCATTAATGGTTCAGTGTGAGACTACATAAAATTATATGTTCATCTCTGTCCAGGGCTATATATTGGTGCACATGGACTGTATACATCAGAAGTAATTCATTTAAAACGCAAATTCGGCCAGTGGAAAGGTGGAAAGGATTCTAAGAAGCCATCAGATATTGAATTCTATGAGTATGTCGAAGCTGTGAAATTAACTGGAGATCCTTATGTGCCTGCTGGAAAGGTTAGTTTCTTTGTTTGTTTATTCTAGTATGAGGCACTAACACCAATATGAAAATCTGCAATTTAAATGAAAGGATCTTGTGTTACCAATCTGATGGAAACTAGCCGTTATGTTCATGGTTCCCTCATTTACTTTCCGGACTACACACGAAAAGAAACATTGTCATGCATTATTGCTCACTTGGATGTATTACTATACACACCTGTTTACTTGTGATATCCTAAGCACTTTTATTGCAATGTCATAGTGGGGTGGCCTTAGCACATTTGTGTATCTCATGACAGGTAGCATTTCGCGCAAAGATTGGTAGACGTTATGAGCTTCCACATAGAGGTCTCATCCCTGAAGAATTTGGAGTGGTATGCTTAGAACACTATCCAAATTTACTCAGTAAAATTTGTTTTGTCATTTGTTTGCGTAGCTTCAGTAATGGTATTTAAAAAAAATAAATAAAAAATACAGATTGCTAGATACAAAGGACAAGGAAGGCTTGCTGATCCTGGATATCGTAATCCAAGATGGGTAGATGGCGAGCTTGTTATCCTGGATGGCAAGGTTCCTCTCTTCATCTCTTTCTCTCTAGACTAAAACCAACTACTCGTTCATGATCAAAAACTCAAATGTATGACATGTTTTTGTTGTGTGATGTATTATGGTTGTGATGCAGTATGTAAAAGGAGGACCTGTCGTTGGATTTGTCTATTGGGCACCTGAATATCACTTTGTGATGTTCTTCAACCGCCTGAGGCTTCAATCCTAGTTTTTCTTGTACCTTCTCGGCCTGCAATCGTGGAGTAGTTTTCTGCTGCTATTACCATTGTAAGTGTACTACAGATTCATGGGATCGGTTTGATAAGATTAGTTCAAGGTCAAGGTCAAGGCTCGCGCTTATATTTTCTGGACCGGTGATGAGATTACTTCAAGTTGCTGTTGTCTTTTTTCTTGCGGCAAGATTGAGCACACCAGAGTACTGACTTGATCATGCAGTGAAACTTGTTGGATTCGGAGAATGTAGTCAGAAAGGAAACAAGATTGTCAGGTTTGGAGAAGTCTTTCTTTCCCTCTAGATATGTGTAAATTATTGTTTCTCTTAGTTGGATATATAACTTGGTAAGAGTTGCTATTCTATAACTTCCTTGTATATTTTTCAGTTCTCAAATAGTATAATAAGATATACAAGAATGAAAGGTACTTTTCTCATCAGAGTTTTAATTAAAATTTGGTACACCATGGTTAGAGAGTTGTTGAGTTTGTTGTTACATTGGAGGTGCTATTCTAAGCTTGTCCATGTACATTTTTATATGAGGAAGATTGATATTCAGTAGTGATGTTTTCTCCCTGCTTGTGTGGCCTTATGCTTATCCTAAAGGTTCCTACCATTTTACTTAAGCCTGTTTGATAACAGTATCTAACTAACTATGATATTTACAGTTCTATTTCTATATTAAATGTTACATGGCTGTTATGGACCTTATGGTTGGAGAAGATATGTCTATCCAATTGCTACTGTAACCCAAAAGCTTTTACATGTACACAGTTACACTCAACTGGTTGACCTAATCTGATTTACGTATTCGTGTATAAATTGAAAGAAAACCCTAACAATTTAAAAGCTTTCAATTTTATCAGAAAAACTAATTTCTTTTACTATTGAACCTTGTCGAACACGTTGAGTTAGTTTAATGACGGTTATCCTTAATTTTTTATTTGATTTTTGGAATTTTAGAGCTTGATGAAAAAGTAAAACCAGATATATAAAAATTATCAAATAAAAATAAAACAATTTGCTCTATCATCAAGCACGAAATCAAAGAATTGACCCTCTCTCGAAAACCCTAGCTCCGATCCATCCATGTCTGTTGAAGAAGTAACCGCCGACACTCCTCAACCCCCACCTACCTCCACCACCGCCAGCAATGCCGCACCGTTAGGATCCTCCGTGATCCCCATCGTCAACAAGCTCCAAGACATATTCGCTCAACTCGGAAGTCAGTCTTCGATCGAGCTTCCTCAGGTAGCCGTCGTCGGGAGCCAGAGCAGTGGCAAGTCCAGCGTCCTCGAAGCACTCGTCGGACGAGACTTCCTCCCTCGTGGAAACGATATCTGCACGCGTCGCCCTCTCGTCCTCCAGCTCCTCCAGACCAAAAGCAAGTCCAATGGCGGATCCGATGACGAGTGGGGAGAGTTTCTCCACCTCCCTAACAACCAACGTATCTATGATTTTTCGGAGATTCGTCGCGAAATCGAGGTTTGTTATTGTATTGGCACGCATTAGCTTCAATCCGAGCCGATCCTGGGCATAGCCTAATGAATAGTATATACATTGTTCAAAAAATATCAAACTAGGCTTTAATTTTAGGCTCTATTATAGATGATTAGTGTAATTTTAGGCTCTATAGAGGATTAGTGTTTAGGCGCGGATTAATGTTTCGGTGCCTCACTGATTTCGTCTAGACGCCGCCTACACAAATTGATTTGCCATTTAGACGCCGTCTATATGCGGGCTACACCAATTTTTTATATAAGGGATTAGTGTTAAGGGGCAGATTAATGTTTAGGCGCTTCACTGATTTGCCGACTAGACGCCGCCTACACCAATTGAATTTGCCGTTAGACACCGCCTACACCAATTTTTAGAACACTGTGTATATATCATTAGGCCCCAACTTGGTTAAGAAAAATATATGAATTGATTATTTAGTAATTGTATATCATTAGGCCCCAAATTGATTAAGAAAAATATATGTATTGATTATTTAGTAACTGTTTTAAGTCCCGTAGATCTCAGGGTCGGCCTTTGGCTTCAATGCTCTAAAGTGTATATTTCTTTGTAGGCTGAGACGAATAGATTAGCAGGAGAGAACAAAGGTGTATCAGCTAAACAGATTCGTTTAAAGATATATTCACCTAATGTATTGGATATCACGCTTGTGGATCTACCTGGTATCACCAAGGTGCCTGTGGGTGATCAGCCAACTGATATTGAAGCACAAATAAGAACAATGATATTGTCTTACATTAAGCAACCTAGCTGTTTGATACTGGCTGTTACTCCCGCAAATTCCGATTTGGCGAACTCAGATGCACTTCAAGTTGCAAGAGCCGCCGATCCTGATGGTAAATTCTGCTAAAAATTGATTACTTTCATGGGTAGTGTGTTCTGACATTGCTCATCTTCAACTTTTGTGTATCGATGTTGTCTCCAGGTCACAGGACAATAGGTGTTATCACGAAGGTGAATATTCCTTGTCCAGACATTTTTTTTTGCTATCATTCTACTGTGGTTTAAAGCTAGTCGTCCCTGTTTTTTCTCATGTGTTTTAATATTTATTTGTTATTGGTTTTAGTTGGATATTATGGACAAAGGTACTGATGCTAGTAATCTACTTCTTGGGAAAGTTGTTCCTCTACGGCTTGGATATGTGGGAGTGGTAAACCGTTGTCAGGAGGTAAGCTGTGCTCTTGTGCTTATATTTCTCTTAATGGCATATAGTATTCTGACTCTTTCCTTACTTTTACTATTCTTCCTTTCAATGCTGGTGATACTTTTTCTGCTTTTATTTTGTGGCTTTGCCTTCATACAACGTTTGAATTTACGTTGGTCTTTTTTGTAAACAGGATATTTTGCTAAACCGTTCAGTCAAGGAAGCTCTTAGCGCAGAAGAGAAATTCTTCCTGAGTCGTCCAGTATGATTGCATAATTTTCTACTCCCTTCATGATACTCTGGCGATTTGTCCTTGTTATAGTTTTTTTTTTGTACTACACAGGCTTATCATAGTCTTGCTGATCGTCTGGGCATCCCTCAGCTAGCGAAGAAGTTAAATCAGGTATTTCTGCAGTTTTGGGAGTTATCTTCTTCTTACGATTAACTCATGTCTCAGTTCAACATAATGGATAGATTTCTGGATAAACGTCTATTATGAGATGATGTCAAAGTTTTATATGCATCTTTGTAGTCAAGTATACTTCTGAAAAGTTTATTATGATATTTTCAGAATTGTTTTATTCTTGACTAGTTGTTTCCTTTTAATAGGTTACATATATGGCATTGGTACTTGTTATATTAGAACATGATCCTACCCTTTCTGTTGCTTTTTTTCTAGATTCTTGTTCAACATATCAAGGCTCTACTTCCTGATCTGAAGTCGCGCATAAGTAATGCTTTGGTTGCTACAGCTAAGGAGCATCAGAGCTATGGTGAAATTACAGAATCCAGTGTACGTAATTCTTCTGATTCATTTATCGAATGCTTTGTTAATAATGACACTGTTATTGACTTTGGTAACTTACCGTTTCTTCCTAAGGTCTTTTGCTCAGTCTTTTCGTTTGAGTATAATTTTTCTCGTCCAGATTATTTGCTAGTTCATGTGCCCTGTGTTCATGAAATCGTGGAGTTTTTTTTTTTGTTATTGTGCTACCAAAAACAAAACCTTTAGCTGGTAGAGTTAGCATTTGAAAGTGTTCTTATTTGCAAAGATGTATCATTGGCCAATGTGTTGTTAACAATTTGCGGAAATATTTACTTTTTTTTCCTTTCTTTATGACTTGCTTGTCTTTATTATTTAAAAGATCTTTAAATAGTTGAAATTGATTATATTCTCTGGGTATTTACTGTCTTGAAATCTTTAGGCCGGCCAAGGAGCTCTTCTCCTCAACTTCCTTTCAAAATATTGTGAAGGTAACATCCGAAGATGATATTTTGGTCGAGGCAGTAGATAATTTATTTTATGCTTCTTTGGTTCATAGTGAGTCTCATGGTTAACTTCTTTAAACAGCTTACTCTTCATTGCTGGAAGGGAAGAGTGAAGAAATGTCAACATCCGAGCTCTCCGGAGGAGCAAGAATTCACTACATTTTCCAGTCAATCTTTGTCAAGAGTTTGGAGGTTCGCTCAGCTTATTTTTGTATATTTTGGAGCTACTTGAGGTGGATTTCTGTGAATTTATTCTGATGGACTTCCTTCACATGGCTTCTCCAGGAGGTTGATCCATGCGAAGACTTGACAGATGATGATATTCGGACTGCAATCCAGAATGCAACTGGTCCGAGATCCGCATTATTTGTTCCAGACGTACGTTTCCTAATATGTTTGTTAGTATGTTAGGATTTCATCCTGGTTGTCAAGACTTCTAAGCATTCATTTGATTCCTTACCTTTCTACTTCTCAGGATGTCTAATTACAGTCTCTTGATTCCAATCTTTTCTACATAGGTTCCATTTCAAGTTCTTGTTAGGAGGCAGATATCTCGTTTGTTAGATCCTAGCCTTCAATGTGCTAGGTTCATTTTTGATGAGCTCGTGAAGGTGAGGTTTTCATTTTGGTGGTTGATGTATAATAATAATCTTAATTCCATTTTCTTCATAAATTTGAATGTCTCTACAGATTAGCCATAGATGTATGATGAATGAGTTACAGCGCTTCCCGGTCCTGAGAAAGCGCATGGATGAGGTTATCGGGGATTTCCTGCGAGAAGGTCTTGAACCCTCAGAAGCAATGATCGGAGATATCATTGATATGGAGGTCTGTATAATAAATTTGAGATCCCTATGATCATTGACGTCAGTTACACATGAATTTATCAATTGAGATCCTGTGTGGTTATAGGGAGCCCTTTTCAATCTTGAGCAGTGTTTTGATTGATTAGTTCCTTCTAAATTTGAAATGAACTATTAGTGCTGGTTGTCATAATTGCTTCAATGGTGTTGTTGATTTCTTGAGTGCTGTTTGCAGATGGATTACATAAACACTTCACATCCAAATTTTATTGGTGGAGCAAAGGCCGTAGAGGAAGCCATGCAACAAGTTAAGTCTTCTAGGATTCCCCATCCTGTGGCACGACCAAAGGTATGAAGTACTTTGAGCAACAAAAAAAATAGTTTTGTGTTTCTTATATGCTCTGCAATGTTCATATACGTTTAAATTTGATGTAGCAGGATACAGTGGAGGCTGACAGAACATCTTCTTCTTCCGCAAGTCAAGTGAAATCTCGATCTTTTCTCGGCAGACAAACTAATGGAATTGCTGCTGATCAGGTATGCCATTATGTAATATGGTTTCATCTGTATATCGTCATGCACTGTTGGTTGGTACTCAACGTTCATTAGCAAATTAGTTCTTGTTTGACACTTTCACTTTGACATGTTCCTAGGGAGTTGTATCGTCAGATGCTGAAAAAGCTGCACCAACCGGTAATGTTCTAATTGCTGTTATTTAGCAGGGTTCGGAATATTTTCGGCTGTGTGATGGATCTATGTATTTAAGAGCTGGAGATTCTGGGTAGAGTTTAACTATGGTTTTATTGGACAATTGATACTTGACAGCAAATGGGAGTGATTCAAGGTGGGGTCTCCCTTCCATTTTTCGAGGGAGTGATATTCGGGCAGTTACCAAAGAAAACTTCTTAAACAAACCATTGAGTGAAGCTGTTGAGGATATGTCTCAGAACTTATCGATGATCCATCTTAAGGAGGTGCGTCTTCTATGCCGTGTTAGATGATACATATTTTCCCATAAGTTTTGTAGTTTATTCAACTCATACTATTTGGTTTACTTTCCTGAAGCCCCCAGCTGTCTTGAGGCCAATCGAAACCCATTCCGAACAGCAAGCAGTCGAGATTCAGATAACAAAGCTGTTACTTAAATCATACTATGACATTGTGAGGAAGAACATTGAGGACTCAGTACCAAAAGCAATCATGCATTTCCTGGCAAGTACCTTCATACATTTCTAAAACTTCTTGCGCTAACTCAAAACTCAGACAAATCCCTGTTGATATCTTAAAGTAACCGAACTCTGAAGATACTGATACCATTTCTATATCATACTCAGGTAAACCACACGAAACGTGAGCTGCACAATGTCTTCATCAGGAAGCTTTACAGGTGATGGCGGCCTGCGTTTTTTTATTTTAATGCTTCACATCTGTGTTCTGGATAGTCTCTTATTAATGGGTAATTATATCATCTGGTGCAGGGAGAACTTGTTTGAGGAAATGCTCCAAGAGACAGATGAGATAGCAGTTAAGAGGAAACGCACTCAAAAGACTCTCCATGTTCTTCAGCAAGCTTACAGGGTATGTTCTCAGCCAAACCTAATTGTGTATCTCTTTCCTTTCAGCAAAAAGAAAAAAAAAAGATATATATAACCATATGGGTTTGTGTGTTAAACAGACACTAGACGAGTTGCCTATGGAAGCAGAATCAGTGTGCAGTCGTGATACGGATGCAACAGGTGTGTCAAAACATCTGGACTTGCCGACTTCTTCTTCGAAGTATTCCACGAGCAGTTCATATTCTGCATCTCCAGGTACAGGAAGAAGATCTAGAAGAGCAGGAGATCAACACCAAAACGGATACGGATTCTGACATGTTCCAAAAAATCTTTATATCTGACTCGCATTTCATTCATTTAATGACTCCTATCAGGTTTTGGTATTATTAAATTATGTGTTGGCAAAATGAAGATTCTTTTTATAGATAATTGGTATACACTGGTTTTGGAGTCCATTGTTTTTTGGCTGTTAAGAGAGTTGTGAAGGGAGTGTGACAAAGGTCAAAGGTGCATACAGTTTGCATGTGTTTCAGACTATAGAAATACTATACGTTGGCACTACTAGCTAACAAGTAACGACCAAGAGACGATTTGCTTTTTACTCTTTAGTCCAGAAGATGTGAACACAATCAAATGATCAATAATGATTACGATGATGTGATTAGTTTAAGAGTGATTTAGCCCAATATACGATGATGTGATTAGTTTAATGATACGATACATATGGAACTTTACTAATCATATCAATCAGAACTTACATTGTTAGCGACACATCAATCATTCCAAGAAGCAAGAACATAGTTTACTGTGAACAAACAAAACCAAGAGCTATTACTTGTGATTGATTCCGCTCGGCCAAGTCAGATTCTTTACAGGCTCGAGAATAGCTTCAACCTCAGATAGAGTTTCTTGATCCATCCCCAAACTTTCAAGCTCTGTAAATGCTGCAACATTTTCTTCTACCTGATTCAAAAGGAACAAATTGTTTCATCTCATCAAATCTTCTTCCCACAAGAATGGAAATTTTTTGTGATTTCTGAGAGGGAAGTCATATACCTCTGAGACAGAGCCCATCCCAACCAGAACAGATGAAATCTCCTTGTTTGCTAAGCTGTATTGCAGTGCTAGCTTTGTAATCTTCTTGCCCTTTGATTTACAATGAGCAACTGCGGCTTTGCAGGCTGACTACACAAGACAGTAAAAGCAACAACAGGTTCTGAGAACAATATGTGAGAACAATTTGTAAGGAAAAAAAATCAAAGTACAAATTAGAAGAACAAAGATAAAACATACTTAGTACTCATCAAAGACCAACAGATATGCTAAATGAAGGGTCAGCTAAGCTGACGGGTGCCTAGGCAATCACTGTATGTATCCTCTCTAATCCTCTTTATGAAGTTTTGTCAGACACTGAGGAACTGTCAGGCTAACAAGTATAACTTTTACTCTTATACGGTATATTTCAGTACAAGTGCTACAAAAATTTGTCTAATAAGAATTGCATTCTTTTCAAAAATGTCAAACCTTAATCTCAGGAGAGGCAGGGTGCCATTCAGGAGGACCTTGTTCAGTAAAGAGACCCATTGACAATGGAGAAGCAGTTATCACACCCACACCTTTGCTCTTCAAGTAAGGTACCATATCAAGTAACGTTGAATCATTTATACTGTAATGGCAGTATGATAGTATCACATGGATCGTCCCTGGAGGCACTTTATCAAGAACATAAGTGAAAGTATTCAACGGAAGACCCGTGATACCAATAAACCGTATCTTCCCTTCCTGTTTCAGTTTCAGGAGAGCAGGGATCGTTTCATTCACAATCTGTCAGCCATGAAACAACAATTAGCAAATGTTGATACAGACAGTGAAGTAATAAACCAAGAGACAGAGATGAAAACCTGATCAAGAGACCAGAACTCAATGTCATGGCAATGGAGTATGTCAACATAATCTAGCTGAAGATTCTCCAAGCTCTCTTCGATGCTCTTTCTTACTCTCTCAGCACTGAAGTCAAAACCTTCTACATATCTTCCACACTTGGTCGCCACAATGAAATCACTTCTAGGTACTTGTAGAGTCTTGAGTGCCTTACCAAGCACTTTCTCCGAAACTGTTCCTCCATAATACCTTCACATATACATATAGAATCACTTAAAAGTTTCCTTAAATACTTTGATGTCAACAGTTCTAACGGTTAAGCAGCCTCAACACCGCAGTAACCTCATGTGAACACTCTCACATCATCAAACAGAAGTAGCAAATGTATTGAAGAGTTGAAAGAATAGAAGAAGTGATTACGGGGAGGTGTCAAAGAAGTTGATGCCGAGTCGGAAAGCCTCATGCACGGCGGCGATGGCATCATCTTCGGCGACTGGAGTGTAGTGACTTCCGAGCGGAGATGCACCAAAGCCAACTGCGCTGACCTTAAGCCCTGTATTCCCCAGAGGCCTTAGCTCCATTGTCAGAGTCAACGAAGCTTGAAAGAACGCAAGAAGACAACTCTTAGTTCAACTTCAAACACATGGTTCTCATCTCACGGACTTTACGAAAATACCCTTTTCAGACCAAACATAACTTTTTTTTTTTGTAACACGACCAAACATAAGTAGATTCTTTCGCACATTCTCAGAACTCGACACATTAACGTTCTTGCAATGATTGTAACACTTGTTTTTAGTTGCAACCATTCAAGAAAATAAAGGAGACGATATTATTGAAATCCAAGTCAAGTCATTAAAGAAGATAACGATGATGAACGATTACAAGAATCTTCATTTGTAAAGCTGCTTGAATCTCCGACACGCCTCCAAGATGTTCTCTCTGTGACCAAAGGCGCTAACACGAACAAACCCTTCACCTCCTGGTCCAAACCCACTCCCTGGAGTTGTAACCACATGAGTCTTCTCCAGAATCTCAGCAAACACATCCCATGAGCTTTGGTTCGGGAAGTGAACCCAAACGTAAGGCGCATTCTTTCCTCCATATACATCATACCCAAGAGAAGTGAACGTGTCGATGATTATGTTTGTGTTCTCTTTGTAGAACCCAACCACCTTTTGCATTGCCTGCAATGTTTTAAAAAAGGACAAAAGTATATTTACTTGTGGGAACTGTGTTAAGTTTTGAAGTCTATCTTTAGCTAAGTAAAGCTAACCTCAAGTCCTTCTGGTGTGAGGCAAGCAAGAGCACCAGCTTGAGAGATATTAGAGGCACCATTGAAACAAGTGCAAACGATTCGATTGAAGTCTTTTGCAACAGGGAAGCCGTCTGAATAGAGAAGCTTTTTCGGGATGACGGTCCAACCAAGTCTAACTCCAGTGAAACCAGCATATTTACTGAAGGAAGCTGTCTCCATAGCGACCTGTAAAGAACAATGAAGAAGGTTGTTAAGAAAATGGACCTTTTGAAAGTTGTAATCAATCAATTTATTACCTCCTCTGCTCCAGGGATTTCGAAAATGGTCCGTGGGTTATCATCAGACATGTACATTGCGTAAGCTGAATCATACACTATGATTGATCCATTCTTCTTTGCAAACTGTACTAACTGAGTCAGTTGCTCCCTCGTGGCAGCTGCACCGGTAGGGTTATTTGGGGAACAGAAGAAGATTATGTCCGTCCTGCCAACAGTGGATAAGTTCGGGAAGAAGCCATTCTCTGGAGTGCATCTCATGTACTGTATGTTTCCATACTTCTGCACATCTGTGTTAAATTGTCCGGTCTGACCCATGATGACACTGGAGTCGACATAAGCCTAAAGAAGATGAGAAAAACAAAGTCAAACTGTTATACTGGAGCAAAAAATCGACAAGACTATGACTGCAGTTTGGTTCCAAATATGTTCAAGTTACCGGATACGAAGGATCCTGAACGGCGATTGAAACATTGGAACCAAACATAACCTGCAACAAGTGGAATAAGAAAACAGTTGATCAGTTCTCCTGATCTTGTATACCAGCTAAGGATGGACAGTTAGCAGTTAAGCAAACCTGAAGACGCGAGATGTCACATTTGGCACCATCAGAAACAAAAATGTCATCTTCCCCTATGCCTAGGCCACTGTAGTAAGTTTTCGCAAGAGCAGCCCTCAATGGCTGTTCAAATGAGTAAGATTAAGGTTTAGTGTGGACATAAAATTTAAACAAATGAAGTTATAAGAGGTTTAAATAAATCTTCTCTTGCAAGTTTAAGAGTATTCATAATGAAAACTGAAGTTGCAAATGCACATAATAATATAACAGTGCATAAGGTGGTAATGAAGGGTGCACGAACCTTTGCACCTTGTTCAGCACCATAACCGCTGTATCCCTCTATTGTGGACAACTCATGAGCTTTCTGCCAGACAGAGAAAGACATAATCAATCTCTAGGATAGCTAAAAAACTGTGCTACCAGAAAAATCTATGTTAAGTTTTTTCACTGTTAGATTGCTGAGAAGTTATCGTCAATCAAACAAATATATAGAGAATGTATTATCTTTTGTCAAGATGAAGAAGCATAATGCATACTAGGACAGTATTAGTAAAATCAATTGAAGAAGTTAAGAAGAAGGTACCTTCGCCATAGCAGAAGTGATGACTTCTGGAATAGGCTCGGTTGTGTCGCCTATTCCAAGACTTATAATTTGTGCATCTGGGTATTTCAGCAAGTGTGCAGACCTTCTTCTTGCAATCTGTTTGCATTTATCCAAGAGAAAAAAGCGTCACTTAGAGAGAAAGACAGAAAATAACTAAACTTATTGCAAAAGCAACCCAATGGATATGGACTATTCATATTTCAGATCAATGCAAGCTTTTAAAAACGTGTACTTGGTACTGAAATTACGGAGCAATGCTTGTGTTTGATGAAGAAAGAGTTATATTGAAAGAAAGCCATTCCTTAATAGATATTACCAGAAATTCTTTAAGTAAACTAAGAGAGAAACAGATGCAAACCTCAGGGAAGAGGTAACCAGCCTGAAGTTTTGACATGTTTGGATTCCGTGACACATTTGTCTTATATTCTACAAACATGAGAAAAAAAAACACAAAAACAAGTAACAGAGTCAATAAACCATTAGCAAAATAACTAATCTTACTAATCACTACAGCAAAAGAGAAAGAACAAGAAGAGTTACCAATCTTATCTTGAGGGGTAGCAACACATTTGCAGGTATTGACCCGTTTCGCCATGGGTAAGCAAGCATTTCGAGTTCTGAATCCAAAAAAGAGAGATCACAAAGCATAAAGCAAACCAGAAAACTAGAGAGAACCACAAGAGAAATGATCACAAATGTTATATTAAAGCAAGCATATGCAATGTTCAGTGTCCAAA